AAAGCTTGAGACCCTGAGTTCAATCCCCACTACCAGGACAAAAAGGAAAATAAGGGTCTAGGGCAGAGTTTCTGCCTTCAAGAACTTTATCTTGTTGGAGCTATAAAAGGGTTGCTAGTGACACTGGGCAGGTAAGGCAAACACTAACAAGTAAATTCCAAAAGACGGCTCATATCTGAGGGAGGTTGTGTGTCACTTATCAGTTCTTCAAGCCTGTCCCTGAAAGCTATCTGCTAGGTCTGAACTTGCACAACCCAGGGTGTGGCCAGGGCTGCCTGGGGTGTGATCACTGTGAACTATGGGCTACTTTCCTGTTCTGTGCATTCTCTATACACTGAAGCCACTCTGCAGGCTGGAAATACCCATCTCTTCACCCTGGAGTCTCAGAAAATAAGGGTTTAGTGAATGTTGGTGTGTTTTTTTTAACCTTATTTGAATTAAGTGGATCCTTTCTTTAAAGGGCAAACCTTAACCTTTTTTTTTTTTTTTGGTGCCCATTCTAGGGCTTGAACTCAGTGTTCCTGAGCTTTTTTCCTCAAGGCTAACACTTGGATCACAGCTCCACTATTTCCTGCTCCACTGGAGATGTAGATCTAGTAGACTTAACTGCCACACCTAGCTTCAAAGCACAATCCTCAGATCTCAGCTTCTTGAGTAGCTAGGATTACAGACTTAGCCATGAGTGCCCAGCAACCATTTTTACTCCATATTGGATATATGTTTTCCATAGCGCTCTATGTTGCAACCATCAAGCAACAGACTCTGGGCTCACTTTTCTGTTCATTTTCCGTATTTCAAATGTCCTCCATAATCCTGGTTCTCCTTGTCTCCATCCAGGTTCATTCAATAAATACATACCACCTTCACAAGGAGAAGCCTTCTGAAACACCTAGAAGATTTCATATTTACTCTGAAAAAAAGAACTAAGTAGTAACATCTTTTTTAATATAATTTATTATTATGATTATGATTATTATTGTGTTTTAAAAAGGGGTTACCATTGCCTAACTCAGGTAATCAGTACAAGTTTTTGTTTTTGTTTTTGTAGGTTGTGGGACTTAAATTCAGGGCATGTACATTGTCCCTCAGCTTTTTCACTCAAGGCTAGCATTCTAACACAGCCACAGCTCCACTTCCACTTCTGGTGGTTAGTTGAGGATAGGGGTCTCAGGACTTTCCTGCCTGAGCTGGCTTCAAACTGTTTTCTTCAGATCTCAGCCTCCTGAGTAGCTAGGATTACAGGCGTGAACCAATAGCACCTGGTGTGAACATAGTTCTTTTTGGACAACGTTATCTCTTCCTTCACTGTCCCGCAGTTTCCCCTTCTCATCCCTGCCTACAAGTTACACATAGTGTCATCTTCCCTCAATAACATTAATTTCTAATTGTAGATTGTCAAGCAGTTGCTTTACAAATGTTCTTGTCTTTTTGTTTTTACCTCCAATGGAGACATCAACTCAAGAGACTCTTTGTCTTGCCACTTAGCTAACCCTTGGAAATCAGGAAAGCATGGTTTGTGACTAAGCCACCTCACGCATGTTGTCTTGGCCTTCCTGGAGTACTACAGTGATATTAGCTTTGTCAATGATTCACCTGAGCCTCTGGACTTGCAAACCCTGACCAAAACAGATGTGATTATTTTATGGCCATTAATCAGGCAGCTTCCGGCAGAGTTAGAGGCAGGCTCATTTCAGTCTTATTTCAAAGAGCTGTTCAGAATCCACACTCTGTCTTAATAATTAGTACTGTAGATTCCTACTTGCACTAAATTTTCTAGACTTAGGAAGAGAAGGCAAAAGGGTATGGAGGATAGCCAAGTCTCTTGATCTCTGCAGCAGGATGGAACAGGGCAGGGCAGGGCAGGGCAGGCTCAGCTGCTGACCTGGAGGCCTTCTGTGCTGAGTCATGGAGACAGCCCTGCCCAGGCTGGGTTCTATTCCCCCAAGGGCAAGTGAACAACACGCCAGGAGAAAACTGGTAAGAATGTGTGGACCACAGTTGGGGAGAGGATAGATCTCTAGGGCTGAGGTCCCAAATATTACTGTCCAAACTAAGAAACTTAAAGACCTGAGCTGCCTGTCCACTCTGAGTTCCATATTGAGAAAGATGCTTCCCACTCCAGTGTCAGTTCAACTCTCAATTTTTCAATAGGACAGAAAGGGGACATTGGAACTAGATGAATTTGAATGTGACTCTCAGTTTCTATACTTTCTGTTTTAGACTTTGTGGGTAAGTCCTCAACCTTTTGAGAATCCCTTGGAAAATAGTACTAACCTGTTGGTTTGTTTGTAATTATGTGTAGAGACTTGTTGCAGAATGATGATCCTTCTCAATTGGCTTCTAGGGGAGAATGAAGCTAGATACTTAATGGGGATTTAATGGGGATGGATATCTTTTTTGGGGGGAAGGGGGGGTCTGGTCATGAGGCCTGAACTCTGGCCCTGGGCACTGTCCCTCAGCTCTTCAGCTCAAGGCTAGTGCTCTACCACTTGAGCCACAGCCTCGCTTTCTTTTTTGCTTATGTGATGCTGAGGAATCGAACCCATGGCCTCATGCATGCAAGGCAAGCACTCTACCACTGAGCCACCTTCCCAGCCAAGAGCCAGTGGCTCATGTCTATAGTCCTAGCTACTATAGAGACTAAGATCTGAGGATCATGGTTCAAACCCAGGCTGGTCAGAAAAGTACAAGAGACACTTCCAATTAACCACCAGAAAGTTCAAATGTTAAAATACCACCCTTGAGCAAAAAAGCTAAGGAACAGAGGCCAGGCCCTGAGATCAAGCTCCCAAATCAGCACAACAACAACAAAAAAATGAAAGCAGAGCTCCTGGCCTGTGGCAGTCTTTGAGCCAGTTAAAAATCTTTTGACATGGTGTAGCTCTTCCTTGTGTCCTGTGGCACTCCAGGCTTTCCATATAGGACCCAAAGCTTAAAGAAGCTAATGGATGGCCCTAACCGACCAACTGAGATGCTCTCTCTGATACCTAGTCTTTCTTTCTTTCTTCCTCTTTCCTCTTGGAGAAAAGAGCACTGGGAAATGATCTGGGATTAGCTTTTTCTCTAAGCTTTTAATTATGAAGATTTCTTTTTTTTTTTTTTTTTGGGTCTGGTCATGGGGCCTGAACTCTGGGCCTGGGCACTGTCCCTCAGCTTTACAGCTCAAGGCTAGCACTCTACCATTTGAGCCACAGCGCCACTTCCAGCTTTTTTTTTTTTCTGCTTATGTGGTGCTGAGGAATCAAACCCAGGGCCTCATGCATGCAAGACAAGCGCTCTACCACTGAGCCAACTTCCCAGCCCAATTATGAAGATTTCTAAACCCACAGAAACATTGAAACAATTGTACCTTGAATGTTCATGTGAGATCCCAGTATCTGTTTTATTGGCTTGTATTGTCATTTTTTAATGTATTTCAAAATAAACTGCAGATCTGAGAACATTGCATAACAAGTGTTATAGGCTCTGGAATCATGCTGTGCCTTCAATACACTGGAACAAGGACTATCTCTACTAGATAAGGACTTTCTTTACTGGTATGAGATTTCTTCTGCCATGCTAGCACGTGCGCCAGGATCAGGATCAAAGGGAAGCCACCAGTCTCTGACTTCACATGGCTTCCCTCCAGAAGCCAAAAGGCTTTGTATCCTATCTCTTTCTCTTCTCCTTCTTATCTTTTCCTCCTCCTTCTTTCTTCCCTTCCTCCCCCCTTTTTTTTCTGTCAGTTGTGTAGCCCGAACTTAGGGTCTGGGCACTATCCCTGGCTCAAGGCTGGCACTCTGCCACTTGAGCCACAGCTCCACTTCCGGTTTTCTGGTTGTTAATTGGACCTAAGAGTCTCATGGAGGGGCTGGGAAGGTGGCTCAGTGGTAGAGCGCTTGCCTTGCATACCTGAGGCCTTGGGTTCAATTCCTCAGCACCACATAAGCAAAAAGAAAAAAGCCAGAAGTGGCACTGTGGCTCAAGTGGTAGAGCGCTAGCCTTGAGCTGAAGAGCTGAGGGACAGCGCCCAGGCCCAGAGTTCAGGCCCCACGACCGGACCCAAAAAAAAAAAAAAAGAGTCTCATGGACTTTCCTGCTCAGTCTGGCTTTGAACCACAAATCTCAGATCTCAGTCTCTTGAGTAGCTAGGAATAAAAGCATGAGCCGACACTGCCCAGGTTATTTCTCCTTTTTATTGGGTTTGGTATGAGACCTGAACCCAGGGTCTAGACACTGTCCCTGAGCTTTTGTACTTAAGGCTAGTGCTCTACTACTTTAGCCATAGCCCTATTTACAGCTTTTTGCTGGTTAATAGGAGATAGGAGTCTCAAGACTTTCCTGCTGGCTTTGAATCATAGTCCTCAGATCTCACCCTCCTGAGGAGCTAGGATTACAGACATGAGCCACTAGTGCCACTATCTTCTTTCCTTTCTTAAATCCTTTAGCATTTTGTCATGCAAACTTTGTTGGCCATACCATTCTACAAGTATGACAATGACATAGGTAAACCTTGTAAATATAACATTGGGCAAAAGACCTTGAACACAAGAAAATACATAATATATAATTGTGAGTGTACTGCATACTTGACTAATTTTTTAATTTCATTGTACAGTATACAGTATATTTCCAATGGCCTCTTGGACACCTATCTTTTTTATCTGTATGTGCAATGCCCACTGTAAGCATTATGCCCACCTTTGGCTCTCAGCTCCCCCCAGACCTGAGCTCCTCCCAGCCCTGGAGTTCCCGCCATACAGCTGGCCCCTCCCTCTCTCCACCCAGACCCACCTGAACTCCCATCTACCTCACTTCCTACCCCCAGACCCTGCTGCTACCTAGATAGTAGAGGGTACCCTGTGCTCCCTCTCCGGGGGGAATATGGCTCTTCTAATAAGCCTTGTAATAATCTTTCTCCTGTGCCTACCTACCTCTGCATGGTCCCCTGGATTGATGTGATAGATCCTTTCACCCACAGAGGTGGCATAGTATCTAATGTAGTATACTTTCTTCCACAGAGTCCACAAGATGGCTGTCCTCTCTAAGGAATATGGCTTCGTGATTCTAACTGGTGCTGCCAGTTTTGTGATGGTACTCCATCTAGCCATCAATGTTGGCAAGGCCCGCAAGAAGTATAAGGTGGAGGTAAGAATACAAACTGATGCTTTTATAGGCTTGTCTGAGGCCCCAGATTTCTCCAAGGGTTTGTTTTTAGTCATGGAGGAATCAGTAGAACATGATAGCAGTTTTAGAGATGTGCCTCTTAGAAATTCTGCTTCTCAGTCTGGAGGTTCCTCAAAAGACTCCACATAGAGCTCCCCTATGACCCAGCAATCCCACTTTTGGGCATTTACCCAAATGTTTACAAACAAGACCACACTAAAGCTACGAGCATGACTATGTTTATTGCAGCATTATTTACTATAGCTAAGATATGGAACCAACCCAGATGCCCCTCAGTAGATGAATGGATCAAGAAAATGTGGTATATATACACAATGGAATTCTATGCCTCCATCAGAAAGAATGACATTGCCCCATTTGTTAGGAAATGGAAAGACTTGGAAAAAATTTTATTAAGTGAAGTAAGCCAGGCCCAAAGAAACATAGGTCCCATGGTTTCCCTTATTTGCAATATTTAGTATATGTCTGAGTCAAGCAGAAAAGGTCAGATAATGTGATGTTAGGAAAATAAACCCTAAGATATGTATTTAAATGATTTTTTCTTTCATGCATTTGTTTCTGACGCATTTATAAGATTATTTCTTTGTTGCTTTGTATGTCCCTCCCCCACAGTATAACCCCTGCTTTCACTGTATTTGATGTCGGTATAATTTGTGGAGGGGCAGGGGAAAAACATCGTTTAAATAGGGATACAGGTGGACCCATTGCAACAATGAGATGTACAAGTCGTTATGTCGAAAACAAACTTTACAACTTTGGGGTGGGGGTGGGGATTCGGGGGGGGGGAGGATGGGAAGGGATGGGAAGGGGAAACAAAGGAGGAGGCTACAATGCTTGATAAAAAATGTACTCATTATCTTGCCCATGTAATTGTAACCCCTCTGTACAGTATTTTCATAATAAAAAAAAAAAAGAAAGAAATTCTGCTTCTCACTGGTGGCTCACACCTGTAATCCTAGCTACTCTGGAGACTGAGATCTGAGGATCAAGGTTCAAAGCCAGCCTAGGCAGGAAAGTCCGTGAAACTCTTATCTCCGATTATCCACCAGAAAACCAGAAGTGGCGCTGTAGCTCAAGTGGTAGAGTGCTTGCCTTGAGCTGAAATGCTGGGGGACAGCACTCAGGCCCAGAGTTCAAGCCCCATGACCGACCAAAAAAAAAAAAATTCTGCTTCTTTGTAGCAGGAAATAAGTGAAAAATAGGAGGCCCTGCTAGGGAATAGTTTTCATCTCTTACTTTGTCTTCTCCATAGAAAAGTCAGGTCTACTGGGACTGAAATGATCTGCTTTTGGCTAGAGCCTTTTGTTAGGGAAAATGCCGCTTGCTAAAGAGAATTAAGTAGCAGCATGGTATCCTAATGCACTGCTTAGCAGAAGGTGATTTTCCTGTTTTCCAGCAGAGAAGCTATGTGGAGCTTAGCCCAAGGCTTAGCCTTTAGATGCAGGAAGGAGATCTATTAAATACTTCCTTTAGTTCTAGCTAATCTAGAAGGGATGCTTTCTAAAGTTGTCCCTGGTGAGCAATTAGATACCTGTTTCTGTTTGGACTCTTATACATTTCACTGGAGCTGCTTTTAAAGTTTCGTATCTAGATTTCTTCTTCTAATGGACACTCCAATAAAATGTTTACACCTTCAATTATCTGTTCCCCCATTAAGGGAGTTCTTAAAAGGATGCAGTATATGATGTCTCTTGAGAAGGAATTTATTCTCTGTGGTGTCTTTTTAATGCAGCTGTAATGCACCACTGATGCATAGTATCAGTGGAAAGCACTGGTTTGGTACAAGCTGTGTGTAGCTCTTGTGCAACCACAGCCCAGAGATACATATTCTTGTGGCTGGATATTTAATACAAACCTTGAGAGCTGGTGGTATAGCTCCAGTGGTAGAGTATCTATCTATCAAGCAGGACACCTTCAAACAGCAGTACCACAAAAATAACAGTTGTTATTATAACAAACACTGAACATGCCCTGAGAGTGAAAACTCTGTCACTGTAAATATTTAAGCAGAAAACAAATGACCTTCTCTAAGAGTCCAGTAGAAGCCATTTCAGGTTGTATTGTTTTCATGGTTAATTCTAAGTGTCCACACTGAGTGCTGCTCTTGACCATTTGTTTATATGTGCTTCATTTTCACAGTATCCTGTCATGTACAGCACAGACCCTGAAAATGGGCACCTTTTCAACTGCATTCAGAGAGCCCACCAGAACACGTGAGTGTCAAGCTTCCATGTACCAAAGACATGGACAGAGTGGGCTGTTCGTTTACTAAGCAGAACAAGAAGGATCGTCAGGGCACTTCATTAAAAGCATCACTAGCGAGGCACAGTGGCTCCTGCTTGTAATCCTAGCTATCAGGAGGCTGAAATCTGAGGATTGTGGTTCAAAGCCAGAATGGTAGGAAAGTCTATGAGACTTTTATCTCCAATTAACCACCAGAAAAGCCAGAAGTAGACCCTGTAGTTCAAGTGGAAGAGCACCAACCTTAAGCAAAAAAATCTAAAGGGACAGCACACAAGCCCTGAGTTAATGCTCTAGTACACACACACACAGAAAAAAGAAAAAGAAAAAGGCAGGGCTGGGAATGTGGCTTAGTGGTAGAGTGCTTGCCTAGCATGCATGAAGCCCTGGGTTCAATTCCTCGGTATCACATAAACAGAAAAGGCTGGAAGTGGCACTGTGGCTCTAGTGGTAGAGTGCTAGCCTTGAGCAAAAGTAGCTCAGGGATAGTGCACAGGCCCTGTGCTCAAACCCCAAGAGTTCAAGCCTCAGGACTGGCAAAAAAAAAAAAAAGGTGGGGGGAGAAAAGGTATCACTAGAAAGTGATGTTTATCAACAGATTATTCAGAGTTTTTTTCTGGCTGGGCGCTGGTGGCTCACACCTGTAAACCTTCCTACTCAGGAGGCTGAGCTCTGAGGATTGTGGTTCAAAGCAAGTCTGTGAGACTTTTATTCCCAGTTAATGACCAGAAAACAACAAGTGGAGCTGTGACTCAAAAGTGGTAGAGTACTAGCCTTGAGCAAAAGAGCTCCGGGACAGTGCCCAGGCCCTGAGTTCAAACCCTATCTCACACACACACACACACACACACACACACGCATGCACGCACGCACGCACACACACACACACACACACAGTTTTTTCCATTTTTGGAGAAGTTACTTGATAACATTTTCAGAAATGACTTCAATGCTGCACTGTTGTGTAATATTGACATCAGCGCCCATTCCTGGTATTGAACTTCCATATCCCAGAGAATAAGAGAGTTTGTAAGGAAACCTACGCAAATCTGCCAACCCCGTCCTCATGAGTATGCTGAATATAGGGTCCTTTTGCTCAGCACGTTCCCCTATGCAAAGCACAAGAGGAATGGGTACCAGAGCTGGATTTCCCTCCCGTCTGTGCTTTTATTCTTAAGCTGTTAACCTACACGTAGGAAAGTAAAAGTCTCTCTGTTTTGCATAGACATACTTAAGGCTACCTTTTTAAAAGTTTCTCTCTATTCCAGGTTGGAAGTGTATCCTCCCTTCCTATTTTTTCTAGCTGTTGGAGGTGTTTACCACCCGGTAAGTTTCCAGGAGGCAATTTATCTGTTTCATTTATAGTTCACTAAGCTACTGGGGATACAGGTAATAGTGAACATTGCATGAGCACCATTAGTGTAGAGGTACCAAGTTTTCAAGTGGGTTTTTTAAAATCATTTCTTTTTTTCTTTTGTCAGTCGTGGGGCTTGAACTCTAGGCCTGGGCACTGTCCCTGAGCTCTTCAGCTCCAGGGAATCACTTTACCACTTGAGCCTCAGAGCCACTTTCGGTTTTCTGGTGGTTACTTGGGAGATAAGTGTCTCATGGACTTTCCTGCCTGGGGCTGACTTTGAACCACAATCCTCAAATCTCAGCCTCCTGAGTAGCTAGGATTACAGGCATGAACCACCAACACCCAGCTTATTTAATCATTTCTTACAAAGTTTTTTTTTTTTTAAGTAAGTAGCCCCTCCCCTTTTTTATGGTGCTGGTCCTAGAGCTTGAACTTGAGGCCTGGGTACTGCCCCTAAGCATTTTTTGCTCAAGGCTAGTGCTCTACCATTTAAGCCACAGCTCTACTTCCAGCTTTTTTTTTTTTTAAGTTAATTGGAAATAAATGTCTCATGGACTTTCCTGTCTGGGCCAGCTTTGAACCTTGATCCTCAGATATCAGCATTCTGAGTATCTAGGATTACAGGGTAAGACACCAATGCCCAGCTATCCCTGCTTTTACAGATAAGCTGGACACCTGTGGCGCACACCTGTAATCCTAGTTAATCAGGAGGCTGAGATCTTAGGATCTCAGCCAGGCTGAGAAGCCAGGCTGGGCAGGAAAGTCTGTGATTCTTAGCTCCAATTAACCACCAAAAAGGCCAGAAGTGGTACTGTGGCTCAAGTGCTAGCGTGTTAACTTTGAACAAAATGAGTTCAGGAATAGCACCCAGGCCCAGAGTTCAAGCCCCAGGACTGGTGAAATAAAGAAAGAACGGAAGGAAGGAAGGAAGGAAGGAAGGGAAGGAAGGAAGGAAGGAAAGCTTCTTTGATAATATTTAACTTTCATGAGATCAAAAGCTACAGAGTTGAAGAATCTTGACTTTGAACCCAGGTTTATCTGGTTCTAAATGTTCGTATCCAGTGGCTGTTTTTATTTACCATGTTCATTCATTCATCCACACTCACCATTTGGGGTTACAGCAATGAAAAAGAGACAGACACATAAACAGACACCTGGTTTCCTGGAATTTCTCTATTAGTGGAGTCCCAAACAGAACTCTAAGAATGTGGTATGTTAAGTGCACAAAGACAAACAAGGGAAGGAGAGGACAAGGCAATTGTGAGTGGTGTGGTCAGGGCAGAGGGCTTTCTGAGAGGGCAGAGTCAAAACTGGTGAGGAAGCAGGAAAGTACCCATGTCTTGTACATCCAGGAGTCTGCCAGGTCTGTGAGATAAGCAATGGGAAGGCTATGGATCAGGAAGAGGAGCAGGCAGCAAAGCCTGGGCAGCAGTGAGAGTAGACACGCTCAGCTTGAGAGGCCTCCGTAACATCTGAAGTTCATCTGGGCCTATTATTTGCCATTTGGGTTTTGCCATGGACAGGAAGTATTCTCCTTTTAGGGTAATAATTATCCTCCATATAGATTCTGACCAGAGTTCTGACCCTTCATACTCCTAGTTCCTAACCTTTCGTGGCCCTCATGAGATAACAAGACTTTCTCTCTAATCCTGACTTTTGGTCAGCTTTCTCTTCAGACTCACCTTGAGGTCCAAAGTCTGCCTCTCTTCCAGAGAGCTCTAGTCCATGTTACCCAAGTTGTCCAGGGCAAGGCAGGAGACTCCAGTCCACCAGCCAGCCAGACTAGCAGGCCAGTACCTAGCGCTTGGGTCTGCAACCATAGGTCTTAGGTTTTCCTAACTGAAACATAAATTTTAACTTTACTGGGAGTATTTTAGCAAATCCATGGGATTATTAACTTGTTTCTAACATAAAATGCACTAAACCCTAGGTGTTAGTAAAGATCGGTAATTTTCAATGTAAACACTAACATACTCTTTTTACCTTAGCGCATAGCTTCTGGCTTGGGCCTGGCCTGGATTGTTGGGCGAGTCCTTTATGCCTATGGCTACTACACAGGAGGTATGTACATGTTGACATCTACCAAGGTAACTTTAAATTCTTTTGGGGGGGGGAGAGAGGGGGGATGAACTCTGGGCCTGGGCGCTGTCCCTCCGCTCTTCAGCTAAAGGCTAGCACTCTACCACTTGAGCCAAAGAGCCACTTCCGGCTTTTTCTGCTTATGTGGTGCTGAGGAATCTAACCCAGGGCCTCATGCATGCAAGGCAAGCACTCTACCACTGAGCCACCTTCCCAGCCCCCCTAATTTTAAATTTTGTGTGCGTGTGCGTGTGTGTGTGTGTGATTTTTTTTGGTAGTACTGCTGTTTGAGCTCAGGGCCTGGTGCTTGCTGTCACTCAAGCCAGGCTTCCATCTCTGTTTTCTGCAGTTGTTTTTGAGATAGGGACTTTCAAACTTCAGCTGAACTACATTTTTTAAAAAAAGGATGAGGGGGGGAGCTGGCACCAGTAGCCCATGCCTGTAATCCAGCTACACAGGAGGCTGAGCTATGAGGATTGTGGTTCAAAGCCAGCCTGGGCAGGAAAGTCCCTGTGACTCTTATCTCCAATAAACCACTCAGAAAACCAGAAGTAGTGCTGTTGCTCAAGTGGTAGAGTGCTAACCTTAAGCTGAAGAGCTGAGGGACAGCGCCCAGGCCCAGAGATCAAGCCACCCAACCGACAAGAAAAAAAAAAAAAAGGTGGGGGGAGACTTTTTAAAAGCCCTAGATCAGAGTTGCTTTAACAATAAGGGCCAGGCGACTGTGACATGTAATTGGCATGCATTAGCTCACACAGGGACTGTTTGTAGGCTAGAGCAGATGGTCAGATGTTCAGACACGCATGCCCTGATAGACTGGCTTGTGGATGCTCTGTTGGGTAACTTGCTGCTTTCTTCTTTTCCAGATCCTAGCAAGAGGAATCGAGGAGCTGTGGGGTCTCTCGCCCTTATCGCCTTGATGGGCACAACCGTGTGCTCTGCCTTCCAGCACCTTGGATGGGTTAAAACCGGCCTGGGCAGTGGGTCCAAATGCTGCACTCACAATTTACAGGGGCTTCAAAACCCTCGCTCATTTTAAATGACTTACCTTTATGTTCAGTTTTTTTTTCTAAATATAATAAAAACTTAACTGGCATTGGCCTCATACCTAAACCTTCTGACTCTAGGTCTCATTTTTTGTTTGTTTGGGGTTTTTTCTTTTTTTTTTTTTGTTTTGATGCCACTCTTGGGGCTTGAACTCAGGGCTTTTGTGCTCAGGGCTAGTACTCTGACACTTTGAGACACAGCTCCACTTCCAGCTGTTTAGGGTAGTTAGTTGGAGATAAGAGTCTCATAGACTTTCCTGCCTAGTCTAGCTTTGAACTGCAAGCCTCAGAACTCAGCCCTTCTGAGTAAGATAGGTTTGCAGGCATGCACCACCAGTACCCAGCTCTCTCATTTCCTTTTTGGTTTTTTGTTTTTCCTTGAATTCAGAGCTTGGGTGCTGTCCCTGAGCTCTTTTTGCTCAATATTAGTGCTCTACCACTGTGAGCAACAGCAAAACTTCCAATTCTCTGCTGGTTAATTGGAGATAAGAGTCTCATGGACTTACCTGCCCAGGCTAGCTTTGACCTGTGATCCTCAGATCACAGCCTCCTGAATAGCTAGGACTACAGATGTGAACTACCAATGCCCAGCTCTTCCATTTCGTTTTGAATCTGTATTTGAAATAATCCATTCCTTCAAGACAAGAGAAATGTAACAGATCCTTGCTGGCAGATCTTTGCTAGCGGATTCTCAGTATAGTGTCAAGTTGAGAAACTTGATTGTGGCAGTGTGTATGTAATCATGCCACAGTGGAAAATTAAATTATTTCTTAGTCCTAGTTAGGATATAAATTCGTCTTATCACTTCATACTAATAATTAGAATAACAATAAGGATTTTTTTTAATCTATTGTAGATTGCTTCCACTGCTGAAAGAGTTAGAATGTGGGCTGGGAATGTGGCTTAGTGCCTAGCATGAAGCCCTGGGTTCGATTCCTCAGCCCCACATACACAGAAAAAGCCAGAAGTGGTGCTGTGGCTCAAGTGGTAGAGTGCTAGCTTTGAGCAAAAGAAGCTCAGGGACAGGGTCTAGGCCCTGAGTTCAAGCCCCAGGACTGGCAAAACAAAAAAAAAAGAGTTGACAATGGGCTTTACTTAAGATGATGAAACTTAAGGGTGAATGCTACTTTCCACATTTGGATAGAACAATCTGATTGCAAGTGGAGAAGAATACATTAAATAAAGGAAGATTGAAAGGCTTTAATTGAAAGAATGATCCAGATTAGCAACCTAAGATGGTTGCTTCCAGAAACTAAAGTAGCCATAAATTCTATTAGAAAAACTATTGTCTAGACCTGTGCTGTCCACTATGGTTGTCACTAGACACACTTTGTTTTTGAGTGATAAGAGTTTAAACAAAACAAACATAAGAAAACAATGATTCAAACTGTTCTCTTTAGGGCTACAAGGCTGGTTCAATATACATGAAACAATAGCCCTAATACAGCACATAAATGGAACCGAGGACAAAAATCATATGATTGTTTCTAAAGATCCAGAAAAAGCCTTTGACAAAATCCAACATACTTTATATCTTAAAGGTGTTGGAGAAGCTAGGAATAGAAGGATCATTCCTCAACATAATAAAGGCAACATATGACATGTTGCCTTACAACTTACATCTAACTTCATACTAAATGGTGAAAAACAAACCATTTCCTCTAAAATCAGGAACAACTGATTTTACAGCTTACAACTAACATCATACTAAATGGTGAGGAACAAACCATTTCCTCTAAAATCAGGAACAAGACAAGGGAGTCCATTCTTCCCATTACTACTCAATATACTACCGGAAAGCCTAGCCCAATAACACAAGGAATTCAAATTGGGAAGGAAGGGATCAAATTGTCGCTATTTAGCTGGGTGCCAGTGGCTCAGACCTATAATCCTAGCCATTCAGGAGGCTGAGATCTGAGGATTGTGGTTGAAAGCCAACTCAGGCAGGAAAGACCACAAGATTTATCTCTAAGAAACTACTAAAAATAAAGCCAGAAGTGGAGCTGTGGTTCAAGTAGTAGGGCATTAGCCTTGGCAAAAGAAGCCAAGGGACATCACCCAGGTCCTGGGTTCAAGCCCCAGGACTGGCAAAAATAAAAAATTATCCTTACTTGCAGATGACATGACTATAAATCTATAGGCTTCTATCCCAAAACTCTTATGGCTAATAAATACCATTGACAAAGTAGTAGAATCAACACACAAAAGTCAGTAGCTTTCCTATACATCAATAATAAACAGAAGGAAATCAGGAGAACAATCTCATTCACAATAGCCTCAAAAAAACAAAAGAAAACAAACAAAAAGAAAAAACTAAGAAAAAGTCTAACCAATGATGTGAAGGACCTTTATAATGAAAACTCCAAAACTCTGAAGAAAGAAATAGAAGACATAAAGAGGTGGAAGACCTCCCATGTTTATGGATTGGCAGCATTACCATAATGAAAAAATCCATATTGCCAAGGGTGATCTGCAAATTCAATGCAATACCCATCAAAATCCCAGGATCATTCTTTATACAGATAGGAAATAATCTAAAAGTTTATATGGAATCACAAAATACCCAGGAATAGCTTAAGCAATTCTGAGCAAAAAAAAGCAGCACCAGAGGTATCACAATTCCAGAGTTTAAACTTTACTGTTGAACTACAGTAACAAAAACAGCATGGTACTGGCATAAGAAAACAGACCCGGGGCTGGGAAGGTGGCTCAGTGGTAGAGCGCTTGCCTTGCATGCCTGAGGCCCTGGGTTCGATTCCTCAGCACCACATAAGCAAAAAGAAAAAAGCCAGAAGTGGTGCTGTGGCTTAAGTGGTAGAACGCTAGCCTTGAGCTGAAGAGCTGAGGGACAGCGCCCAGGCCCAGAATTCAGGCCCCACAACTGGACCCTCACCCCCCCAAAAAAAGAAAAGAAAAAGAAAACAGACCCAACATAGTGCTTCACAGTCACCCTTTACTGAGTTAATGATGTCTTGGCAGCACAGATTTACTGGAGGGAGAAATGGGCCCTGCATCTGTGTTAAAATATGTAGATAGGCCAAAAAGGCAGGGCAAGAAGAATTTCAAAATGGTAGATTGGAAAGACATGAAATGACCCTGTGCTCACTTCCTATATATTGCTGCTTTGGAAATCAACCAGCTGATGGGCTAGAGTAGAGCAAACTTTAAATTATATGTAGATCTTTATTATAAAATTCTTAAAATATTTTTCCCTGTTGGGAAAAAAAAAACAATGACCAATGGGACAGACTAAAAGATCCAAAAATGAAACCACACACCTACTGCCATCTAACATATATACATATATGTGTATATACACACATACATATATAAATAGTATATGTATATATGTATTCACATATGTATATGTGTATATGTATGTATATATGTATATATGTGTGTATATGTATAGGAAAAACACAGCCTGTTCAACAAATTATGTTGGAAAAATTGGACATTCATATGCAGAAGACTGAAATTGGATCCCTATCTCTCACTCACACCTTATACTAATATCAATTCAAAATGCATCAAAGATCTTATTGTAAGACCTAAAATCTTGTAACTACTACAGGAAGGAGTAAACACTAGAATTCATCCACATGGCAAAAACTAAGATATGATGATTACAGTTCAAAGCTAGCTCAGGTAGGAAAGTCCCAAGAGACTCTTTTTTTTTTTT